AGCATTTAGGGTTATATGTGCATCATACGAATGTTATAGTGCTCAAAACCCATTAGTATGTAGTCATGTAGGATAGCCTGAGAACTTTTGATCTAGGCTTTTTTTCCTGTTCCTTATTTAGTTGTGTCTCTAGAGTATGATTATCTGTTCGGGTGGCTATCTCACCTCTGGTTACTTATGGTTATGCTTTTCATAGCGGTTAGATGGTAGCGGAGTAGTGTCCTTTGAGATGACTAGTAGTCAGTAGTGAGTTGTATGATTGATAATTTCTTGCATTTTGTGCCTACTTGATCCTTGATTATTATATGTTGACATATGGTGGTGGGATAGGTTGAGTCGGTCTTGTTGTGCATTGTTAGACAAGATTCCTAGCGCAGGCCAACTATAATTTGTAGTCATGGAGGATCGAGAAAAGTGGTTGGGTTGTGGTTGCAAGCCAACAAACCTTGGGTATTCCACTCTAAAGACTGATCAGATCCGTTGCATATTGATATTCCAGTATGATGACTAATTGGACCTATTGCATGTTGGCATTCTATTCCGATGACTGATTGGGCCAGGCTATTCAAATCTAATGATTGTAGGCCCATTATGCATGCTAGTATGTTTGTTGTATGGGGCATTTTGGGGGAAACTCTATAAGCTTTAATCATACCCAGTTTTTATGTTTTCGGGATCCATCGATGACTGTGGGAAGGCGAAGGCAGGATTTCACGTTTCTTATATCACTCTGATTTTTGATAAATGTATTCTGGAATTGATGCTTTTTCTTCCTAATAAAGGATTTATAATTAGGAAGTTTTACCTTATTCAAAATGAAATTTTTGGTTGTGAAAATGGAACGTTACACATCCAAACTACTATCATCTTCTTAACGTAAGAAGCCAGATTTTTTTGGTGAGAAATTAAGAAAGTTTATAAATTTTGTAGTATCCGAAAGTCCAAACATCACAATATTTATTTGGTAAGAAATCAGTTGTATTAATAAAATGGAGATGGAAAATGAATTTTAATGGAACAATATATGTACAAACCATGAATACGGTTACCTAAGATCCATATTTTTTATATAAATGGAACTCTTGAAGCACATTTATATATTTATATCATGACATACTTCTCAACTAAGAATTTTCTCATCCCATTTAAATTGATATTCAAAATATCTACTAATTTTTTGGGTTGCATCGGCGAAGATTAGGAAGCTCATCTAAGGGTGAGGATGAGGTCTATGTAGGCTGCGACTGAAGCTTGCATCAATGAAAATTTGAACCGGAATAATAGCCAAAAATGTTGGTTAGAAGTGGGGGATGAAGGAACCAGAGAAGGGGGAAGCACCCCTAATGGTTTAAAATTTGTTACATTCGAATAGGCTTAAAATTTGGTCATTTCCTCATATAAATATAGCAAACTCCGACACCGTTTTGTTTTGGTTTTATAAAAAATTAAAGCCTGTAAACATAATCAATAATCCATAGAGGAAAAATTGAAATTGAGCTTGGACAAATCAGGTTAGTCATAAGTTTGAGCTTTCATAAAAATGTTTAATGTAATTCAATTTATATAATTTTTGTTTTCTTTGTGAATTCTTGATGTATTAACGTTGGGTAATGGTTGAACAATTGAAGGTTACTAGGTTAGAGGAAAATATAGATAAAACTTAAAATTTGATGTTAAGCATCCAAATTCCCAAACCAAAACTAGAGTTCAAATACTAAAATGAAAGAAATGCAGAACCTAGTCATTCTTAAAAAATAGGGATAAGAATGGGAAATCAAAATTAAGCATAGGAAACGTAATCAATTCAGAAATAAGGAATACATTAATATTCATGTTGACCCTTTCGACCTTCAATACATGCTGCCAATTCCTGCAAATTTCTCTGCATCACTAACTAATTTATATGATTGAAGGTTTTTTTCCTTAATTCTATCAGTGCTATTTTCTTTTGGAGGACTTAGGTGTTGTGTTTATTAATGTTAGACTCATTTTTATGTTTAGGTACTTGTTTACAATCTTTTTGACATGAATGTTCCAAACCCTAACACTCGTTTATGAATCTAATAGAAATACGGAATAATAACACAAGTATTAAACAAATAAAAACCAATTTTATTTGTTAGGTTTTTCACTAAGAATGTTCTCATTAAGAGAACAAGTACAATGATTAAGAAATAACAAATAATCTGAATCCTCACTAAGAACTCACCAAGAACTCAGAGATCTCTCTATAGAAACTCTCTTACTCAGGATACAATACAAATCATCAACTCTCAACCAATGAGAGAAGCTAGTATAAATATTAGTCTAACCTAACTGGTTATCACAAAGATAGGAGATTAAAATTTCTGTAGATTCTCTAAATCTTCTATTTAAATCAAATCCCTAATTTACATTGATTTAATCTTATAAGATAAATATAGATCTAGTAAATAAGAAACACATTAGATCAAATCTTTAGAATGTTGCTTCACAAAGTAATTATGGTCTGCTCTAGATTCGGACATCAGCACCAATACATCATCTGTTGATCAGGGAATTAACATCATGGAGTGATATGTAGATCCACTTCAGCTTTAGCTCAAGCATTTTCAGCTTTAGCAGATAATGTATAACCATCATCATATCATGTCATTAGTGTATCATATCATCAATGTTTCATCGGCATAAGAACATCAATGTATGGACATACTGATCATTCATAAGTACTAGTGGATCAAGTCTTTAGTAGATAGTACCCTTCGTGCTGATAATAGTTTTAGAGGGTTTCGTGCTGATAGTGCCTTCAATGTCTTTTTGTCATTAGGGGATGATCTTCAGCACTACCAGAAACATGAGAACTTCAGAGATTACTTCCAAATCTGAAAGAGCTAAGGCAACTCAGATATGGTCTTTAGTCTTCAACATCTAAACTTCAGTATTTGGTAGAGTAGTAACATATATATTCAATAACAATCTTCAGAAACATCATTATATCTTCATATTAACTAAATAAACAACCTATGGTATATCAGCT